TTCCAGATTTTAAACACTGTCAAAATGCAGTGGTGCCTGATTTCTTTCCATGTAATTATTTTTCTGGGCCTTTAACATTTTTCTTTTTTAAGATGATTTATTAAAATGCAAGTAAATACCTAATGCAGAGGTCAGTGATTTCCCCATGTGCCTTTGATCACCTATTTTTTTTAAGTTTTGTTGCTGTTCAAAATAGTTTGAGAAATACTGGCTTAAACAAAATCATGCAGGTTTCTTTGAAGATGTCTACTTTGAACATTTATATAATAAAATAAAAAACTATGCAATGCTATGCATTTGTCTATAGAACATTCTATTCAACTAATGTTGCATATAACATAATTTAGGAAATGTGCTCTAAATTGGTCAGTGTGGATCTTGTGTTGCAATTAAATTGCTAGGGCATTACCACCTAAATCTGCATGCTGAAACCAAGGTCCTGAGAAAACCAAAGAAGAATCTGATGCATCCAGGCACAGGGCATTAATTGATAACACAGAACAAGAACACTGTAGGATTAAGCACTGCATGCTAAAGGGAATATATGCAGTGAGGTATATAGGAATGGCATTTCAGCCAACTCTATATAACAGAAAAACAGGAAAAGAAATTTTAGAATTGTAGAACAATGGGCAGACAAGTTTTGATGGATCGAGCTAAAGGAAACCAATTTCTTACGGTCTCATGTAATCATGACTCTATCTGCCCAGTTGCCTTCAAGGTTCTCACTGAGCCTCTCTGAACTTATCTTCACATGATTTCTCAGGGTTCTATGTAACACATTTGGGTTCCTCCTTTCCCCATTCCTTTCACTCAAATTCAGTAGATGGTCTTTAGGGTTTAGGACAACCGGTCACATACATCCTAGCTGAACTTAGATACTTGCCTGAGTTTTCGCTATGATTGTTTACAGTTTACTTTTAAATTTGTATCCCCAGCCCAGATCCCATCTCCTGAGATCTAGAGCCATTTGTATCTCTTCTAGAGTCTTTATTTAGTTGTAGCAAAGCCCCAGAACTCAGTATACCTAAAGTCCAATTTATTGTGCTGGATCTTCTTAATCTCTTTGAGTGGTCTCACCATCCACCCATACACCGGAGGCAAAAACTGAGAATCACTTGAATCCTATTTCTCCTTCATCTATGATAAATACAATTCTAAGAATTATCACCTCAATGATGCTTACCTTTGCATAATCTCCTTTCCTCAAATTATCGTTATAGTGAAATGTCATCATTTGTGTTAATGACAAAACATTTTCTGATGATATTAAGGTTACTAATTAGTTAACATTGCATTAATCAATGAGAAATAATATCAGGGCAAAAGTCAATGAAATAGAAATATAAAAAAACTGAGAGTCTAGTAAACAAAATACATAACAAACCCTTAGGCAAAGTAACAAAAAGAAAGAGGAAAGAATAAAATTAATAACATCACAAATGAACGTGGAGATATTTCAACAGATAAAATGAAATCTTGAAAATCATTAAGTCATACCTTCTTAAGAAACTAACCGAAATAGATGGTTTTCTACCTACATATAACTTACCAAAATTAAACCAAGATGAGATACGCAATTTAAGCAGATCTATAATGAGAAACAAAACTGAAGCAGCAATAAAAATTATCTCAAAGTAAAAAAAAAAAAGTCCAGACCCAGACTTTGGTATACTAGACCTTTAAAAAAGAACACCAAGGCTTTGGAAACCATTACATACAGTAGAATGTAATGAAGGAATGGTACAACTCTTTTTGTCAAGCCAGATAAAGATACAACAAAAAGAAAAGAGTAAGCTAATATCCTTGGTGGAGATAGACGTAAAAATTCTGCCTTTTTCTTCTCAAAAAAAAAAAAAAGCGGTACTGGAAAAATTACATATTTGTGAAAAGAAGAGGGTGAAGTAATGGGGGATGAATGTGATCAAACTGCGAATCATACATTCACAAAACCGTCATTATGAAACACATTTCTTGCAACCAAATAAAAACACCAATAAATGTTTAAAAATAAAACAAATAGTGAAGCCTTATGGGATGCTAACCACCCACATCAACCAGTCATCCTTATCCAGCACTGTGAGGCTTGGTGCTCCCACAGTTCCAATAGTTTGCCTGTTCTCTTGCTTTTGCTTGTGAATCTTCTACTTTCTACCGCTTACATCATTCACATTGGGAAGCAAGTGAAGACAAAAATTACAAGTCAGAAAATCTCTTTTTATCATGGCACCTTAGATAACAAGAATGATCTTAGTATAATATTGATGCAAATACCATTTAGAGACCATCTTATACAAGAACAGATTAAAGGTGGTGTACTCAGGAGGCAGAGGCAGGAGGGTTGCTGAGATTTCTGAGGGTTTAGGGCCAACTCAAACTCTAGGACTACAAAGAGAGACCCCGTCTATTAAAAAAAAAGTCTTGAGGCTCAGAAAAGTGGCATGATTGGCTCCGCATCACATCACACTACATCACTAAAAAGTGAAAAGTGAAAAGCTAGAATTGGAGGCTTTTTCCCAGTTGATGAATATCAAAGTGATTGTCACTATGGAAGATTATAATAGCGATCCAAAGCTTTGACTGAATTAACCAATTCCTGTGTCTATCACTGTCCATTGAGCATCCCCTTTGTTTCTATACTCTTTGTTTCTATACTTACACACCATCATCATCTCCTGGTATGGCATTGTAGCATATTTTGTAGCATCTTCCCTAAAGAAATTGTCACTGATGCTTGAAGACATTGGAGAGGACTTCCCATTATGTGTGACCTTTGGAGGGCTGCTTGCTTATTTAAGATCTGTACGTTACCTTTTATACGTTATCAGGAGTAGTCAAGAATGCCAAGGAATGATCCATCTTCACACAATACTGGAAACCCATACTAAGAATAGTAGAGGTAAAGTAGACAAAGAGCACTAATACTTATTAAGAGAGACGTGAATACCAATAAATTTATTTGATAATGCACTGACTGTGAATGTGAAGGGCTAAGCTTTTTTTAAAATAGTGTTTGAGTGTGGGTGTGTGTCTATGAATACTTGTGGTATGTGTATGTGAACATTTGTGATATGTGTGAATGCTTGTAATATGTGTGCTTATATGAATGAATGCTTGTTGGGGTGTGTGTTTGTATGTGTGTGAATGCTTGTTGGGGTGTGTATTTGTATGTGTGTGAATGCTTGGTGTGTGTGTGTGTGTGTGTGTGTGTGTGTGTGAATGTTTGTGGTATGTGTGGATGGACAGGTGAATGCTTAAGGTGAGTGTGATTGTGTGTGTGTGTCAATGATGTGAGTGTGTGTGTGTGTGTGTGTGTGTTCCTGAATGTGCAAATGCTTGGGTATATGTGAATGCTTGTGATGCGTGTCTGAATATTTGTGTTATGTATATGTGAATATTTGTGCTGTGTGTGAATGCTTGTGCTGTGTGTGAACACTTGTGTTATATGTATGAATTCTTGTAGAGTGTGTATGAATGCTGTGATGTGTGGATGTTTGTGACATGTGATTGTATGTGTGTGGTATAAAAGAGAGAGAGAGAAAAAATGCACATGGAGTATGTAGGGGGCACATGTGCCCATGTTTGTGTAGAGGACAGAAAGAGATAATGGGTACCATGCTCTAGCATCCTCTGCCTATTCCTTTGAGACAGTCTCTCAGTGATCCTGGACTATGGTTCTAGGCCTCGTGGAGCACAAAAAGATAAGTAGAAAGAAGACAGAAATTCATCAAAAATTTCTAAGTGCATAGCATATAAATGACTTTTCCTGCAACTTGAAATCTTGTAGCATGCAATATATATCAGTCAATATGGGGAAAGGCAGACTTCAGCATTTAAATACCCAACAGTAATTTTGATATAGAGAAATCTACATTTTAGAAACTCTACCTTTGTTCACTTATGAAAGATATTTTAAGAGGTAGGATAGAGGACTGTTAATAATCATCACTTGTCTTCTAGATGAGCAACTGAAATGATCTTTTGAACCAATAGAACTTGTCACTGTTACAATTATCTTGGAACATTTTTGTTACATATTTACAGATATACATGTTCAAGAGAATGGTGCATCTGTCTTATGGAGACGCCTGGCTGCATTCTTTCCCAGATACTAATATAGGTGCCACTTCAGTAGTGTAACCAGTGACATGAAGAACCTGATTTGGAGGGGAACAGATGGTAGCATCTTTCTTGGGCTAATTTTAGAATCCTGAAATAGTTCCTATCTCACACAAACCATCCATGGAACCAAATTAAAACAGTTATGTTACAAGGAAAAGGGAGAGAAATATATATATATATATCTTAGAGTAAGACAAAGACAATGCACCACACGTTTCGGTCTCCTTTCATATAAGTCATAGGGTCACTTCAACTCCTTTTCATCCAAATGGATGCAGAATACCAACATGGGAGTATCTTTAAAAATAATGGAAGAAATCATATTTTTAGTTATGTATATAAAATGATCAAGGTTGCATCATAATATATATCAACTTGTAAAACCTAGTTTTGAAGACATTGTTTTCTTGGCGAATAAAGATCTGGGGTCTAACTGACCACTATGCCTCATAAATCAAAATCAAAAGTAAAATGAATTTCAAAAAGGCCAATTTCTGGTTCATTGCTTTGTCTGTTGAGAAGATCTTTTTCCCAAATGAGATAAAGAGTATCAGTTCAGGATGAAGGGGTATGAAGGGAGCGATCCTCAACCATGCGTAATGGTTTAAGGTATAAAATGAACATCTAAAACAGTGGTTCTCAACCATCTTAGAGCTCCTTTAATACAGTCCCTCATGGTGTGGTGACCCTCCCCAGCCATAAAAGTACTTTCATTGCTACTTTATAAATACAATCTTGCTACTGTTATGAACAATAATGACAACATCCATGTTTTCCAACGGTCTTAGCCAACCCCTGAGGAAGGGTCGTGGCCCACAGGTTGAGAACCACTGATCTACAGTTGGGAGATGAGAGAAGTACTTTGTACAGGCACTGACCTGCTTTCCATCAAGGGTATAGAGTTTCTTGACGACGCCAGTTTCCAGTTTGATCGCCTCTGTGATGTCAGTGAGGACCTGCTCGAAAGAGTGGGCTGTTTTCTTGTTGAGAAGCACCCGTACTGCCTTCCGAGGCTTCACCCCACTGCGGATGATGGTCACAAGCTTGGGGCGCACAAAGTCCTTGTTCTCTCTGGCCTGAGCACTGTTGCTGCTAGCCAAGGACTGGGGAGCTTTCATGTTGGCAGATGTTTTTACGTTGACAGACCAGTTGGGATTGACATTCTTGGTGTACTCAACCTTTTTAAAGAAGTTGTCTGAGGAACAGACATAGCTTTCCCCTAAGGGAAGAAATAAATGGTTATGTGATTAATCCAGTAGTAGATATGCAGATGAAAATCAAGCTACTATACACTCATATCAAAATAAATTTGGGGGCGAAATGTTGAGATAATAACCAACCTTATATCCAGGTTTACCCTCTGACAACTTGACTTTCTCAAATTCAAAAGTAATCGGCTAAACATTCTTCACTAGAAAGGCATATCTAGTTGAAGAACCTTGTAAAGCTAAATGTTATAAAAATAGCAAACACCTCCACATATGATATAATGCAATCAGCAAGATGCTATTGGAATGTAAATGCTTGACCCTTCATATGATGCTCATTAGCTTCCATGTACCACTGGAGCTTGTTGAACACGTCTCTGTGTCCTGATCTTCCTATGCTACGTTTGCACTCATAGTCTCATCTTTTTCTATATTATGAAGCAAGGAAAAAATTTAAAGCTAATTTGTTTTCATTTCAAATAAAGTGAATAAGCAACCTTACATATCAGACATTCAGTACACACTGAATGTTGAAAGACTTTGTACAAGCTGTTATGCTAAACGGTAAAATTATCTAAATGTAAAGGGTGTGCTTATGTGTATGTCTGTGTGTGTGTTCATGAGTTTAATGTCTAAATGTGTGTATAAGTGTGTAATCTACTGCTTATCCCTCTCCCAATGAAGAAAGTATTTAAATAAGCTACATGCACACACACGCACACACACACAGCATTCTTAGTGTTTGCAAGTCTAGCTCTTCCTTAGAAAATATGCTTTCCTATGACTACTATTCCTTGCATCTTTCTCCATTCTCCTAAATATTGCACATTACATCTGTGAATTTGATGCCATCTCCATGAGTTGCTTTTGGTTGCCACACTAGTGAGTGGGAGACTGCATTATGCAGCTTGATTGAATTGAAAAGATCTAGTATGAGTTTTACATTTACTGTGGGCTGGGGGAAATGACTAATACAGTAGAAGAAATGCAGTGGCCAGAGGCAAGAGGGGGAGATTGGATGCCTGGAACTAGAAACTGAAGAAAATTAGGAGAGAGTTACGCCCTGCCTGCAGGAGGACTATATTGGAAAAAAAAGCTGAAATTGCTGAGTAAAACACATTAGCCTCGAGGTATACAGAAGTTCATCCAGAGGTTGGACTGCAGAAACAGTGATTTTATCACGCTTTAAGTCATCAGGAATAAAACTAAATACATAGACAAATATATAACCCTTAGCCAGGGCAAAAAAAAAAATTAAACACAATTAAAGTCGGATTGCTCTTCTACTTCCTTTGGTCTCAGCAGAAGAATTACATAGAGATATTCAGAAATACCAGGCTGACAATTCATTCTCTTTGCAAATATTGATTGCACCAAATCTTTTAAGTCACGTGAATTAATACATTTCTCAGTTAGTACTAAGACTCAGTGGCAATCTCTAGGGTGGTTTTGAAAGGAAGAGTATGTGTGTAGGGGTAGAGTAGCACACAAGGATGCTTAATCTCACTTATGATCTGTTACAGGAGGGGAACCAAAAGAGACGGATCACGGGCAATCATAAGCACTTGACCTACTTGGTGCTCATGTGCTCAGTCAGGATGGAAGTTGAGCTTCCAAGCTAAGAGACCCTAACTTTGTTGGCCTCAATGGCATGCAAATCCGGCACAACACCAGTGCTTAGAGGCTAGGATCTGTAAAGTGTGACACAGATAAAGAGGCCTTTTCGATTCCTCTATATAGTCACAGCCAACATCCTCCCCCACCACATACACTAGAAATGGCCTCTTGCCTCTGCTCTTCATCATATTCATGAGCATCTTCCAAGAGGTTGCTGCCTTTAAGTCAGATGTTTTCCATTACTTGCCATAGACTTTCAAACTCTGTCAGACAACTGGTGGAGTGGAAACATCCAGGGCTTTATATTTATGATTTAACTCATGCGCAAACTCTTCTGAGGAGGCAGCTGTGTAGCCCTATTAGGGGGCTCTGGTCTTTTTTTTTTTACTCCCCCTCTGAAACCTCTAAGCCTCTGAACTACAAGTATGATTAACTACCCCCAGATGAAAATGAATATGATGGCAAATAATTAGAGTATCATATGGCACCCGAGAACTTTCCACAGGGTTCTGCCCTCAGCCAAATCTATGTTGAGCACCTTCTGAGGGTACATTTTAATCACTCGCCTCTCTACTTTTGGCCTGAAGGCATAGCAGTGGAAAAAGAACAGCTGCTGTGATGTCAGTCAGATTGCGATTCCCCAACACTTTCTAGTTGTGTGACCTTTGGCAAATTACCTGACTCCCTTAGCAGCAGTCTCTTGTCTGCAAGGTGGGGGGTGTTAATAATAAGCCCAACCTTATAGGGTTGCTATGGGCACAAGTCCAGGGGTGGATGAAAAGTGCTGAGCTCAGATACTGGAGCATAGTAAGCACTCCGTAAGTTCTCATTATTATCATTAAGGCCCTTGTCTAAAGGGACCAATAACTAGGAGGAAACGGGAAAGAGAAAGAGGTAAACGTTAAGGGAAAGGATGCAGGATGAGGAAGGACCAAAGCTAAAGAAGAGAGAAGAAACTCATCAAGGGCAGCTGTCTATGACCTGAGCTGTCTGGACTGTATAACATGAACATTTCTGGGGTCCTGTGCTTCAAGGATAGGATTGCCTGCTCTATGTGGAATTGCCAAACTCAGGAAACAGGAACAAAAGGATCTCTGTGAGCTGGAGGCAGCCTGCTTCACAGAGTGAGTTCCTGACCAAAGCAGGCCTACCTAGGGAGACCTTGGCCTATTAATTAATTAATTCACATTTCATGGCGCTAGAAAAGACTCTTGAAGTTGCAAATCACCAATGCAGAAGCGTTAGAGCTTGCACACAGCAAAGCCATTGCTGCCTGCTGCAGCTGCTAATGCCCACTTAGGGCAAGACATTTATGATGATGAAGCACGGTGATTTAGTCAGGCAAGGTTATGCACATCTATAATCCCAGCACTTTAGAGAGAGAGGTAGGAGGGGGAAGGAGTTCAAGGTCATCTTCAGTCATATAGCATGTGTGGCATTAGCTTGGGCTACAAAAGACTAAAAGAAACAACTAAAACACTAGTCCTTTATTAGTAGAGCATGGTTGTTCATGCTTGTAAATCTCAACCGCCAAGACGATGAAGAAGATAGATTTTAAATCAAATCCCAGCCAGACACTCAGGAGCCATATGACCTCAGACATGTCATATAATCTTTCTAATTCTTGACTTCTTTATCTATAAAGTGAAGGCATTTTACCTAGTGAGAGCAGAGTCTGTTGTGAACCTAAAGGTGTATAAGAGGAAATTTCCTTCCTGTTTTCATTCTCGAGCAGGCTTGAGGAAATAGTTATTGCTTTAATGAAATACAAAAACCTAGATGACCATCTCCAAGGACCTTCAAGTTTTATTATTGGGAAGGTCTAGACGTGTTGCTTTGTTATAGATAAGATTTCCTGGTTCTGCAAACATTTCCCAGGTCTAATTTGAGAGCTGCTGCTTCCTCCATGGTCGCCTAGCACTTGGAGCTGGGTGAGGCATATTGCCCCCTTCCATAGCTGAGTTTCCACCATACCACAGCCTCCAGTGGTGAGTTTCCACTGGGAACCTGAAAAAAAGCTACTTCTCAGCTAAGCAAAGTGACAATTTGCTAGAATTCACTTGCTTTGGGATGTGGGGTAAGGGACATGAAATGATGAAAACCCAACTAAAAGGGTATAAAGGGAAGAGGTACTGTGTTCAAAATGATCCAGTGAGATCCCTTCCTCACCCTTAGGAAGGCTCCTTTACCAAAGAGTCATATACATTTACAATCTCTTAATGCAAAAACACTTTTCCCTGTACTTCCTATTCTTTTCTGGGAATTCCTAGCACAGGAAAAATATTGATTGATACTTTATTGCATTGTTACATTGAAATATTAAATGATAGCTTGTTGTATCATGACGCCCATGCATCACTCCTGAGTATCTTAAAAACCCCTGCTTTTGGGGATGCACTTGATTTAGAAATAAGATACTTAGTAAAAAGGCGGTTTCATATCATTGGAACAAGTGCACTATGGAAAAGCAGCTGAATTATACAATGTCTATACTATAGCGCTCAAGTTATCCAAGGCTGTCCCACTTTTATGTATTCCTCCAATGTTCTTAATAATTAACAGTGCTCAAATTTGTCTTAATACACAGAAATTGGCTAGTCACAAATATAACCCTTAAATTGATAAGTGTATATAAGTATGGAAGTAAAGAAAAATTAGATATGATGGAAATGAACAAGGAATCTCTAATGAAAGATAGAGAAAAGGCAAACAAAAAGAAATGCGACTGATGAATATCCTTCATTGACCAGCTGGGGATACAGTTAATGAAGGCCACATCCTCTGTGGTTTTGCCAAGACCCCTGTTGTATACAAGAAGCTGTGGGAAAGGCTGACATGAAAAATGAGGTTTAGATTTAAAATGTTTCCCTTGCTGCTTTTCACATCCAGCGGCAGACGGTTGACTAGAGCCACCAGACAAAGGGAGTGTTGGGGCTGCCGTAAGGTCAGAGTGATTAGCATTTGTTTCTTATTTTATCCAATTTTAGGCTAAATATTTAATATTCTGATCGTTTGGAAACATGTGTTGTCTGATCCATTCCTCTGAAGTCTACAAAGCAAAAAGGAACAGAAATGAGGATTTCTGCATTTAGGAACTCTGTATCACTGTTGTTAATGGAAAGGACTCATCAAAATCACCTCATCCAACATGCTGCAAATCATAATACTCAAAAAATTTCTCAATAAAGAGTGCAAAAAAAAATGAGTTTAGAGTCCCTAGACTTTGAGGTCCTGTTTCAGTAGATCTGTAATGTATTCCAGGACCACTGTAGTCCACACTGGCCTCAAACTCGCAATCTTCCTGCCTCAGACTCTTGATATTTGGGTTACAAGGTGTGAACCACTGTACCAGGCTAAAGCAATTATTTTTAAAAGAGAGAACATTAGTACCATTGATGATAGAGACAAACCCATAGTCATGTAATTAATGAGGTTTAGGTTAGAGGGACTCAGGCAGCAATAGCTACCCTTTATTATCACTGTGTATAAAAAAGAATGCAAAATGCTTCATATCATTTCTTAATTGATTCTCAAAGAAATATTTTTCATTTTATCGATTTTAAAAACTGAGACATAGGGTTTCTCCTGATTTCCCCAAGTTTCTACAGGCTAGAAGCTATCAGATATGAATCTGACACAAATTTCATTCCTAATATTTCATTATCCATTGTAATCTGCTCCAAGATGAGAACCCGATATTCCTGATTCTTCACCAGGAATCTTTTCAAATATTCTCACTTTAAATCTTAACAGGAAACAGTGCGAATTAATACTTTTAATCGTCTATCCATGTTCTTCTAGAAGTAACCAAGTACAGGGATTTCTGACCTTTTATAGTAGATAAGTTACTCTGACGAAACGAGAGCAAAGAAAACCCTTTTCATGTCTTCCTCATCCCAGGGCCCTTTCCAAATTAGCTTTATGGCAGAGGAAAAATGATCACAGTTGCAACACTCCCCCAGAAATACCTCTGGATTTCCTTGACATATGTCTGAAAGAGCATTGGCATCCTCTGGATTTCCTTGACATATGTCTGCAAGAGCATTTGCATCCGCTGTAACTTGGGCTCACAGAAGACAAGATGAGTACATTTATTTGATCCCTATGCAGATTCTATACTGTTTGGAAACACATCAGGAAATACCACAACACCCAGAAGTGGTATATGGGTCCAATTTAGCAGGTACCAAGAGAACACAGGTAAGAATAAAGCTGTGGATTGTTTTTAAAATTCATACTGATCACCTACACAGATTAAACTGACATGGTTTATCATCAACTTTTCTCAACATACACTATTGCACACACACACACACACACACATATATACATATATATATGGGGGAATATTTGTAAAAGGTTGATTGAGGCAAATCTGTGTAATATTGACATTAATATTTTCATTCCTACTCAAAATACTATGTCTGGTTCAGATTCTGATCTAGCATGTATTATGGCCTTTAAATGTTCTCAGACGATGAAAATTAAGACAATCTAGGAGATTCAGTGTGCTTTGTTTGTAAAAGTTATTACAGGGAAATGCCTCAACTTTGAGGTATAGATTTTCCAACAACCAAAGACACACACCTTATTGATTCCTCTGTTGGACAGCTCCCTTGACTGAGCATCCAGATTTGGAGTTGACCCCAACTGCCCTTCTTTTATTTTAAGATATGCATTAGAATGATTAACCTTTTGGTGATCAGGAAAGCCTAGGATCAATGTTTGCCTACCCTCTCTTGATATGATCTAATCATCCTCCTCCATATGGATTTTCAAGATCAGCTATGTAGAAATCTCTTAAACTCAGATGAAACCACTATGTGTATATTGTCTCTTACAAGTGGCTTACCCAAGTCACTTCAAATTACACTTTGAAAACCACAACTGCATAAGAGAAAAAGAACCTTGGATAAGGGACACTTTCATGTCTCTTTATCTAGGAACACAGGAAACTTCAACACAGTGAGGCAGAGGTGGGGTACTCCTACTAAGTCACCAAATGTGCTGCTTCTTTTTCCTCATTGGCTATTTGTAATCTGGAATCCCTAGAGATCTGTTTGCACTGACTCACCTTTGCTCTAGGATTGAGGGCAGTGGGGGAGGAGGGAGGGCTGAATAAAGTAGGAAAGACTGAAAGAACATTTTCATTGCCACTATTCCTTTGAGGCTATCCTTTAAAGTACCTGTGGGTCAAATTGGTCACAATAGTTTATATGGCAATATAAAATGTTAACAATAAGGCACAAGATCTATTTTCTAAATATCCATAAAAATGAAAATATGGTTGAACAAGTTTTGTGAAGATCTGGACTTTTTTTCTCTGTTATCACATGGGCCCACAGTTGTCAAGGTTTTCAGCAGCCAACTCATAAATTTCAGTTGCAATTGCAAACTATAGAGAGGATCCGAAAGAACTGAGGTAGAGTGACTCATACCTACTCTAATAGAAATGGGATTCATTAAAATACCAGACATACCTACAGCTTTCTTTCGTATGTCTCCCAATGATCTCAGCCTCTCAGACACACCCTTAAGTGAGATTTTTAGAAGCAACAGCTGAGCAGCAACCACTTCCCTAAATGTCTAATCCTCTGCAAACACATCCAGGAAGTCCCGCATTTGGGACATGTATTTCTAATGAGCAACCATTCCCAAACAATTCCTCAGTTGTTCACAGGAAATATGGACACAATTGTTTTATCTGTTAAACCAACCAAACATTCTTCCTTCCCCTAATGATTCCATGGCCTGCTCTGATGGTGCCACACAGAGTTAATTAGGGACGAGATCTAGAGTGACTGCCACAATTCACATTTTCCTTTGTATACCCAAGCAGATAAGCACATTTAGCCTTAGCACACCCGTGTACATTTCAACCTCAGCAGAGATGCAGCCACGTGAAGAATGACAGCTAGCTGTCCTGTTGGTGACTTTGGAATCAGAAGCCTGGGCATCAGTCAACCTGTTATTTTGGCAAACAAATAGCCTAGTGTCTTTCAAGGGAGACTAAAAATGTAACCATAAGCAAGAACATACTTTGTCTCCAGGAGCTGCCACCCACTGCTTAAATTACCTTCTTCCAATTCATCCATGCTTCCGATCTTCCTGGACCCATCGATGGTGTAAATATAGCGCACTCCTTGAGGCAAGTTGATGTTGTCGGACAAGGATCGAGTCAGGTCAGCCAGCAATGCGTCAAAACTACGGAAACGGTCAGAAGAAACAGCATAGACAATCCCCTTGAAGTAGCGGTCCCCATTGCGGTAGAAACGTACCTTCTTGGCCTTCTTCTCATTACTTAGTGCCTGCAAGGTTCTGGTTCTGTAGAAGCTACAGTGGGCACTGTGAGTGGGACTGGGGAGCCCATTCATCCGTGTCCCTCTCATATTCCTAGACGCTTTGTCTCTTTCATCAAAATGTCCAAAATCAAGTTCCATATTTTGTTGGAACTACAGCAACCTGACTGTTAGAGAAAGGGGTGGGGATAAAGAGAGGCAAAGAATAAGGAAGGGTAAGGAAAAAGAAAAGAAAAGAAATTCAAATATTAGCCAGATCCCGAGCTGCAATCTGCTGCCTGTGAAAAGAACTGGTTGAAAAAAGCCCGTGACCCATCTGCTGCTTGTCCCTGACCTGCAGGAATATTGATCTTAATAGAGATGGAGGAGGGGCTGGGCAGTAAGACTGGATGCTGGGGAGGGGGGATAGCAGCCAGAGATTAGAAAAGGGTGGCACTTTTGGCACTGTTCCAAATTTGGGAGGGGGTGTTGAAATAGCTCAAAACCCTGGAACTTACTGACAGTGGCTCCTATCAATTTGTAACTTCGGGCAAAATACATTAAAACTGGCATCTGCTTCTTCACACATGGCCACATGACTAACAGTTGTAAATGAATCCCTAGCCTGACAAAATTCCCCTTGAAGAGAAGCAGGGAGCTAGCCAAGGTTGGCAACCCCAGCCTAGGGAGCAGTCTTTGCATTGCAATACAATGGCTAGGGAAAGGGGTCTTTCCATTTTATTCCAAATCCTTTTTTCCCTCTCTAATAAGTGTATCCCCTCCCCCAGAATAAACTAGGATTCTCTTTTAAAGGAACAGCCTCCAGGGAATACCCAGTGTCTTTGTGCTATTCATCAACCCCTCTCCCATCAAGCTGGTGCCGCTATACAGCATTCATAAAAAATAAGCTGGGGCTTGAAAAGGGGGAGGAGGATGTCGAAAAACCAGTTATTTAACAAGCTCTTAGCTCTGCTTTCCTCTTGTTTCTATTTGCTCACAGAATCCTTTTTCTCCTTTCAGGTGTTTCATCTCTCCCACCCCCACCCTGATGCAATGACACCTTTTAATGGAATACATTAATTGTGGAAAGATTCCCAAATGGGTCTCTGAATAGCATATGGGACCTTTGCAGGCAAGTACACCTTTCATTGTTCTGGGTTTCTCCCCTGACTGAAGGAACATTTCACCCTCACAGCAGGCAATTCCCTCCAAACTTGTCTCCTGCCTAGGTGCATTGATGGAGGCAGAAAAAATTGGTCATCTGTCATGCTTTTATCTGATCTGATCTCCCCCCAGCTGAACCCCTCCCCACGAGAAAAAAAAACCACCCAAACAATGAAAACATGCAACCAATTAATACGACCAAAGCCCTGAATGCTCACAAAGGTAATGTGACGTCCAAGGAACCAAACTATTAACATTCGTCTCACAGATGGGGAAAAAAGACTCACAAAGCAAGAGGATTCAGCTGCTACATAGTACCACATCGAGATTTGCAAGAAAGCAGAGAGACAGGAGGTAAAGGGGGACTGGAGTCAGTGTATTTGTCAGACTCAGTCCCCCTTTTTCTCCAGTGTCAGTATGACCTATGCTGAGCTCAGCATTGTCTCTGTCAGACAACCTGCAACAGTAAGACCCCACCTCCTCAAGACAAGTATCAAGCATTTCCCCCAGGCGGGCTGTGCAAATAAAGCTATGCTTTAGAATCAGAAGTGCTATTATTCCAAATTAGCATCATAGTGAAAACAAAGGAGCAACAAACTCACTTTTCCAAAGGAAAATCCCAGGTAGAATCCTAGAGGACAAAAATCCTATAGAATAAGGCAAATGAAAGAGAAGAAAGATCCAGACACACAGAGCAAGAGAGCTGTGTGCCTTGTGCTTTTCCCGTTTGACATCTGTTACATTCGGCTTGGAAATCACTCGAAAGCCCCACTCACCGGTTCTCTGCTGGTTGGGTGGAGATGCTGAGAGAAAGAAAACCAATCTCTCTATGCCTTTGTTGTCTGAGCTCCAAGCAAGAAATTCCTGCCAGGGTGGATAGTTGCCTTCTAGGTCCTAGTGCCTTGTCCAGCTTCTCCCCCGTAACACAAGCTTAGCGAACACCCCCAACCTCCTATGATTAATTACATGCTTTTTTTCCTTCAATTCACAGCCTGCATTAACAGCTAGAAAGGTTTCATTTATAACCCACAGGAAATTGCAGGGTAGGAAGAAAAAGATTGCACAGGCAAACTCAGAATGCTCTAATGAGCGATGTGCTAGCCCTTTCTCTTAGAAAATTGGCAATTTTACTTGGCTAAAACCTTGGCCTAATCTGCCTAGTGGCTGGTCTCAGCAAGCCAAACCAAGTTTCTTAGACATTGCAGCTCCCTTCCTTTTACCTTCTTCAAAGAAAATAAAATGTGAAAATTCTTTAACATTTGAGCTAGTGCATCCAACATTGGTACTATAGGAAGTGAAGTATCAGGGATAGTAAACAGACAGTACATGGGAAAACACTTATAGAAATCATGAAAGTCAGAGTTGAAAGGTAGCACTCCTCTAAACTTACATTTGCTTGTTTTCTCGAGGCAAAGTCCAGTTTTGTAGTCCTGTAGCCCAGACTGACCTCTAACTTGATGAATTTTTTCTTCCTTGGTTCTGTTTCCTGGGTACTATTATTTGTCAGTACTTAGGTCATAAAGGCCAGCATCACTCTTAAAACATTTCAGGCTGATGTTGGTTAATGTTTCACCTTCCCACTCCTGGGCATATACCCAAAGGAGACTATAGCCTACCTTAGAGACTCTTACACATCCGTGTTTATTGCTGCTCTACGCATGAAAGTCAGACAATGGAAAGATCCAAGAAGTCCATTAACAGATGAGTAGATAATGAAAATGCAAGATATATGCACAATTTTAATCATCCATGGGTAAAAAGAGAAATTGTGAGATTTTCAAGAAATTGAGTGGAATAGAAAATACTAGACCAAGAGAGGTATCCTAGGCCGAGAAAGACAAAAGGTTTTGTTTTCTACCATATAACTGTGTGTCCGTATGTCTGTGTCTCTCTGTGTGTGTGTGTGTGTGTCTGTGTGTTTGTGGGAATGAGTGTATGGTGTGGAACAATTGTATATATTCTGTCAATTATGTTTTAAATAAACACTGATTGGCCAGTAGCCAGGCTGGAAGCATAGGTGGGACAACTAGACAGAAGTAGAGATGGGTCAATGAGAACAGGAGAATTCTAGGAAGAGGGAAGTTCCTCTGCAGTTGTGAGCCTGCCACAGAAGAAGCAAGATGTGACCTGCCCAGCTGAAAAAGGTACTGAGCCATGTGGCTAACATAGACAAGAATAATGGGCTAATATATGTTATAAGAGTTAATATGAAGCCTGAGCTAATGGGCCAATCAGTTTATAGTTAATGTAGACCTCTGTGTGATTTCTTTGGGATTTAATGATTGCAGGAACTGGGCAGGACAGAAAACCTTGATCAGCAAGTGTAGGTAGAGGTCATTGAACTACAAAGGAGTCTAGAAGAAGGGAAATGGTTTTCAAGGATAGGGGGTTGAAGTCTTCTTCATAGAGTGGAGTTCATATGGTTCTACAAATCTAGCCAAATGCCCATGTCTGTGGAGGGCATAAGGCCTGGGGAGAAACCAATTATTGTTGTTTTGCTCAACATGTCCAAATTTGTCAAACTACCTTCTAAATGTTTATGTTTCCACCTAGTAGATTAAGATTAAGTAAAGATTATGGCTGCTCTCAGTCATTATCAGAGAAATTTCTGTTTGCAGTTGTCAACAGTTAATGTAGAGATTCATAACTGGTCCATGTGATAGGAATAAGTGACTTTTGAGTTCTCAGTGCTGAGTGGGACATTTCTATCATCCCTGCCAAGATTCAGGAAACATCATTGAAGATGGGGCTGAAAGAGTATAAGAGCTGGACTAAGCTGAGGAGTTTTTTCTGGACATGGTACTCACAAACTCATAGTAGCTGTTGTTACTTGAAGAAGACCAGTACAAGATTATGACCTCATCATTACATTGTGGGTGGGGTAGGTGCTTAGGAAGACCTGCCATTCCCTGAGGAGTTATTGGCAGTTAATGGTTTCTGAGAGAAGAGGACTCAAACCATGCTCACAGTATGACACAAAGATATGCCATAAGAATATCGATCCTCCCTCAAAGTCTATACATTTGAAGAAAAAGTTGAATAAGAACTTTTATGAAACCCCAAAAAGGTGTTAAACTTGCCATGATTGAATATAAAGCTTTAAATATAGCGAAGATGAAAGAAAGGGGTCGATTATAAATCAAAATTTACCTTACCAAGATTTGTTATACAGCTATGGAAATGACCATATAGTTAAAGCATTGGCTTGGAAGACAGATCTTTGGAAGCCAACAGATTTCAATAGGACCTTAGTATAGGAAAGTTCAACAGTGAGAGGAAGGACTTTGCAGCCAGACTTCCTTGTTTCAAGTTCTGATTCTACTAATGTGTGGGGGGTGACTTTGGGTGAGACTATTAAGAGGTGAGTCCTTTGGTGATGTTATAAGGCCTTGAGTAAACCCCTCATGAATGAGACTAAGCCCCCCTTTCACTTATTTTTAGATAGGATTTTATTCTGTAACCCTGGCTGACCTGGAACTCACTATAATAGTCTAGGCTACCCACAAAAAATGTGATGATTTTCCTGAACCACCACTCCTACCTTGAACTAATGCTCTTACGAAATACATTCAAGGAAGTAAAATGATCTTTTTTTACCCTTCCACCAAATACCAAAAATGAATTTCTGGGATTTCTAAATTACCCATTCTGTTGTATTTTGTGATAGTAACAATGACAGACTAAACAATTGTTCAAGAGAAACTCACATGCATGTTGAAGAAAACAGCAACAACAATAGCCATTAAAATATTTTTTAAAGCGGGGCAGTGGTGGCGCACGCCTTTAATCCCAGCACTCGGGAGGTCAAGGCAGGTGGATCTCTGTGAGTTTGTGGCCAGCCTGGTCTACAAGAGCTAGTTCCAGGACAGGCTCCAAAGCTACAGAGAAACCATATCTCGAAAAAAAAAGCAAAAAATTCTTTAAAATGGTGAAATAATTGAAAACAACCCAAATACCTATCATTAGCACACTAATCTTATGACTTTTTCAAATACAAGTTTCCATAGACAACAAA